AAAACAGTATACTTACAGTACCAGGTTGAATGTGGAGTAAAACTTCAACAATAAAACAGTATACTTAAAGTACTAGGTTGAATGTGGAGTAAAACTTCAACAATAAAACAGTATACTTACAGTACTAGGTTGAATGTGGAGTAAAACTTCAACAATAAAACAGTATACTTACAGTACTAGGTTAAATGTGGAGTAAAACCTCAACAATAAAACAGTATACTTACAGTACTAGGTTAAATGTGGAGTAAAAGTTCAACAATAAAACAGTATACTTACAGTACTAGATTGAATGTGGAGTAAAACTTCAACAATAAAACAGTATACTTACAGTACTAGGTTAAATGTGGAGTAAAACTTCAACAATAAAACAGTATACTTACAGTACTAGGTTGAATGTGGAGTAAAACTCTAACAATAAAACAGTATACTTACAGTACCAGGTTAAATGTTAGTAAAACTTCAACAATAAAACAGTATACTTACAGTACTAGATTGAATGTGGAGTAAAACTTCAACAATAAAACAGTATACTTACAGTACTAGGTTAAATGTGGAGTAAAACTTCAACAATAAAACAGTATACTTAAAGTACTAGGTTAAATGTGGAGTAAAACTTCAACAATAAAACAGTATACTTACAGTATTAGGTTAAATGTGGAGTAAAACTTCAACAATAAAACAGTATACTTACAGTACTAGGTTAAATGTTAGTAAAACTTCAACAATAAAACAATATAATTTCTTCTTAAATATGATGAGGAAAGTGTTTTTGCTTTACAGGTAGCAGAAGCCATTGCTACGTTTATGGTACGACACAGATTTACTAGTCCTTCATCTGATTTCAGTTGGTAAGTGGTGAATGTTGTGTTTGTCTCCAGCCTGAAACATCATTAAATTAAGTAGAGAGCAAGTTTGTAGTCTTGTAATACACCACTTTAAGTGGAAAGTGTTTATCTATACTTAATTGTCTTTTGATACATTAAGTTTATAGGGATTACTATTTATAGGTTTAGTATTTAGATACTCTAGGTGTGCGAACACAGTTGTAGTATTTATGTACTGTAGTGTACAGGGTAGTGTGTGTTAACACATATTTAGTATTTAAATACACCAGTATATAGGGTACTGTGTGTTAACACATATTTAGTAATTAAATACACCAGTGTATAGGGTAGTGTGTGTTAACACAGTTTTAGTATTTAAATACACCAGTGTATAAGCTAGTGTGTGTTAACACAGTTTTAGTATTTAAATACACCAGTGTATAAGCTAGTGTGTGTTAATGCAGTTTTAGTATTAGGTACTACATTGTATAAGCTAGTGTGTGTTAACACAGTTTTAGTATTTAAATACACCAGTGTATAAGCTAGTGTGTGTTAACACAGTTTTAGTTATTAGGTACTACATTGTATAGGCTAGTGTGTGTTAACACATATTTAATATTCAGTTACTTCAACCAATGTTTTTCATGCAAACGTAAGCTAAGTTAGGTTTACAGGTGTCTGTATTGCCCTTTTAATAAGCTGCTTTCCAACAAATCTATACAGAAACACATGTACAAAGGTTTCGGTATGTAACCTTTACCTGTGTAAAAGAATTAGCACATTCCAGTCAACAATTATGCTCTTCAAGAAACTGGATGGAAGTTTAAAACATTTTCTTGAATATGCCTCAATAAAGATATATTCTCTACTATTTATGGAAGGATGAAATTACTGACTATTTAGGTCATTACCTCATGATATACAGTGGAATGCTGTTATAATGTGATAGTTGAAGTCCAGGAAATGGATTGCATCAGATGTGGGGCTTTGTTATTTTGGGATATTCACAAATGATCATTTTCCATATCCCTTGCATTGTTATTCTGTGCATGATATATTTTCTTATTCATTTGAGAGCTTCAGATACCCAAACTAAAATTTGAAACACTTTCAAATGCCAGAAGACAAACAGGATTGGACTGCCCTCTAGGAACAACAGCTCTTATATATTAGACTGCCCTCTAGTAAGCTTTAGTCATGTGATTAAAAAGGTTTCTCACAAGGACAATTCTTTTAAAGAAAAATTGGCAAAATTGTTGATTATTCTACAAAATCTTAATAGAAAACTCAAAACTCACAAATTTAGCAATAGAAAATTGGGAGCCAAACATTGTCTGCATTATATTAGGGTACACTTTAATGGGGTTCTACTATACAGAAAAGTTTTAAATCGTTTCTTCAATTTTTGTTTTGTCAGCAGAGGTTGTTTGTATAAAACAGCTTCAAAACTTGGTAAAAACGTGGGTGGACTTAGTAGAGGTGTGGTCATTACACACACATTTTAGTGGGCATCATTTACTGGAGAAATGGTTGTTCCTTCACTCCAGCAGGCTTATACCAGTGGGTGGACTTAGTAGAGGTGTGGTCATTACACACACATTTTAGTGTTTTTACATTAATGACTTGTATTATTTTATCTATGTAACTTTTTGTGTGTAGGTTTTGGAGAGTCCCAACATTTATTTCATGTAATTTGTGAGTACCTTTATGTATTTAAAGATTTTCCTTAACTGTTCTACAGATTTCAGTTGATGTATCACCGATACTTTTCGAGGGATGGAATGGTAAAATGATCGAACATTGAAACTAAACAGGATGGTTTCTGTATTGATGATAAGTCAGGATGGAATTGTTAAATGGTCCAACATTGAAACTGAACAGAATGGTTTCTGTAGTGATGATAAGTCAGGATGGAATGGTAAAATGATCGAACATTGAAACTAAACAGGATGGTTTCTGTATTGATGATAAGCCAGGATGGAATGGTTAAATGGTCCAACATTGAAACTAAACAGGATGGTTTCTGTATTGATGATAAGTCAGGATGGAATTGTTAAATGGTCCAACATTGAAACTGAACAGAATGGTTTCTATAGTAATGATAAGTCAGGATGGAATTGTTAAATGGTCCAACATTGAAACTGAACAGAATGGTTTCTATAGTAATGATAAGCCAGGATGGAATGGTAAAATGATCGAACATTGAAACTAAACAGGATGGTTTCTGTATTGATGATAAGTCAGGATGGAATTGTTAAATGGTCCAACATTGAAACTGAACAGAATGGTTTCTATAGTAATGATAAGTCAGGATGGAATGGTAAAATGATCGAACATTGAAACTAAACAGGATGGTTTCTGTATTGATGATAAGTCAGGATGGAATGGTAAAATGATCCAACATTGAAACTAAACAGGATGGTTTCTGTATTGATGATAAGCCAGGATGGAATGGTAAAATGATCGAACATTGAAACTAAACAGGATGGTTTCTGTATTGATGATAAGTCAGGATGGAATGGTAAAATGGTCCAACATTGAAGCTGAACAGGATGGTTTCTGTAGTGATGATAAGTCAGGATGGAATGGTTAAATGGTCCAACATTGAAGCTGAACAGGATGGTTTCTGTAGTGATGATAAGTCAGGATGGAATGGTTAAATGGTCCAACATTGAAACTAAACAGAATGGTTTCTATAGTAATGATAAGCCAGGATGGAATGGTAAAATGATCGAACATTGAAACTGAACAGGATGGTTTCTGTATTGATGATAAGTCAGGATGGAATGGTTAAATGGTCCAAAATTAAAACTGAACAGAATGGTTTCTATAGTAATGATAAGTCAGGATGGTTTCTGTAGTGATGATAAGCCAGGATGGAATGGTTAAATGGTCCAACATTAAAACTGTACAAGATGGTTTCTATAGTAATGATAAGTCAGGATGATTTCTGTATTGATGATAAGTCAAGATGGAATGGTTAAATTGTCCAACATTAAAACTGTACAGGATGGTTTCTATAATAATGATAAGTCAGAATGGTTTCTGTAGTGATGATAAGCCAGGATGGAATGGTTAAATGGTCCAACATTGAAACTGAACAGAATGGTTTCTGTATTGATGATAAGCCACGATGGAATGGTTAAATGGTTCAACATTGAAACTGAACAGGTTGGTTTCTATAGTAATGATAAGTCAGGATGGTTTCTATAGTAATGATAAGCCACGATGGAATGGTTAAAGGGTCCAACATTGAAACTGAACAGGATGGTTTCTATAGTAATTATAAGTCAGGATGGAATGGTTAAATGGTCCAACATTGAAACTAAACAGAATGGTTTCTATAGTAATGATAAGCCAGGATGGAATGGTTAAATGGTCCAACATTGAAACTAAACAGGATGGTTTCTATAGTGATGATTAGTCAGGATGGAATGGTTAAATGGTCCAACATTGAAACTAAACAGGATGGTTTCTATAGTGATGATTAGTCAGGATGGAATGGTTAAATGGTCCAACATTGAAACTAAACAGGATAGTTTCTATAGTGATGATTAGTCAGTAGTTACTAATTTTACTGAAGAAGTTTCATATGAGATAATTGAGCGGGGATAAAGAGTGTATTAATGTTTCTTGAGAAGTCAAACTCAAAGCACAAACTCTGTGTTTGGGAAGGTTGTTTGGATAGTCTACAGAAATGTCCAATTCTACTATGTGTTAATTTAACTATCTTTGGGAAGGTTATTTGGATAGTCTACAGAAATGTCCAATTCTATTATGCGTTAATTTATCTATCTTTGGGAAGGTTGTTTGGATAGTCTACAGAAATGTCCAATTTTACTATGTGTTAATTTAACTCTATCTTTGGGAAAGTTGTTTGGATAGTCTACAGAAATGTCCAATTTTACTATGTGTTAATTTAACTCTATCTTTGGGAAGGTTGTTTGGATAGTCTACAGAAATGTCCAATTTTACTATGTGTTAATTTAACTCTATCTTTGAGAAGGTTATTTGGATAGTCTACAGAAATGTCCAATTCTACTACAGGTTAATTTAATTCTATCTTTGGGAAGGTTGTTTGGATAGTCTACAGAAATGTCCAATTCTACTACAGGTTAATTTAACTCTATCTTTGGAAAGGTTATTTGGATAGTCTACAGAAATGTCCAATTCTACTACAGGTTAATTTAATTCTATCTTTGGGAAGATTGTTTGGATAGTCTACAGAAATGTCCAATTCTACTACAGGTTAATTTAATTCTATCTTTGGGAAGATTGTTTGGATAGTCTACAGAAATGTCCAATTCTACTACAGGTTAATTTAACTCTATCTTTGGAAAGGTTGTTTGGATAGTCTACAGAAATGTCCAATTCTACTTTGTATTAATTTTAATTTTGTAATGAAACTCAGGTTATATGTTCCTTTTGAAAACATTTAAAGTTTTTCCAATTTTGTTATTATATAAATGCCATGTCTTTCTAAGAATGATTGTATTATAATTTATGAGAGTATTTTAAGCTGTAGTTTTTATGAGCTGACAGTATATTACAATTCTGTTATAATATTGAGCGTGATCGGACATGGCAGTGTGTACTATACATAGTACTCAACCTCTAGTATTAGTGTATTTCACTGTTGTTATGTTGCACATGTGGCATGGTTGTTTGTCTGCATCAGCTATCTTGTATAATATGACTTTATGCAACCCATATAATATGATGTAAAATATCTTAACTTGATTTTGACTCAACTATTAAACATAGATAAGACAAAATGATAGTATGGGTGACTGGCAAGTGGAATTTTAAAAAGAGTTGTTTATAAAATTAGGCATGATGTGTTCCCACTTGCAAACTGTTTTGAGCATTGTGACATTCTTTTGTTAATGTTCAACATTATCACCGATATTAAATGTTTCTAGTCCTAAACAACAGATAATTTTATAAATTGTATTTTCTGTGTTTCAGGACATTTCCAGCTTGTTGATATAGAAGTCAAGGATTTGTACAGATCTCAGGAAGGCTGTAAAATAGTTGGGAACGGGTAAAATACTTAGTCTCGTCATAACTGGGAAACAGTAATAGTGTAGGTGATAGCTTAAAGATTGGTAAGCCAAAATATTTAATGAATTGTCAATTTATATAGATTTCTTTCAGCTTATCCCATGATTTATTCACCGTAGAATTAATGTCACAAACATTTTACGTCTTTGTATTGGGTGGTAATAAATGACTTTACTGTGTGTTTGTAAATATAATTACACAGAAAAACGAGTTCCTAGCAATACATATCCATTTCATACATTACCTACATATTATTTGTTCAGTTAGTGACACATAAGTTTTAAATAGACTCGTACAGAATGTAATGCATATAAGCATTGAATATGGATATAACAAGAACAAAAAGTACAATGTAAACGGTCATCTGTTCCATTAGCATATGTGAACTAAATTTAAAATGTAACCATCTTAATTGACCACTTCATTAACTACTAACTGCTATCATTTCACTAGTGCGATTGGCCGCCAACATTTTCCATAACCACCGACTAATAACATAAGTATATACTGACCACAGGAGATTGACCTCCATTATATGTCCACAACACTTGATTATTGGTGTGTAATCGG